TGCGGGTTTTTTGAAGTTCTATTCTGCGGAAGGCAGCACAAAAACTGGCCAATTTTGATGAGAGAAGAGTGATGCGTATACGTCAAGGCTTTCTTCTAGAAGTGCTGCCCCCTTTTGCTGAAGCAAGGTCTCTTGCTCAAGATCAGAGAAGCGACGCACGGTCATAGTAATCATGGCGGCTTCTTAGCGCCGAAATGCAATTGGTCGCGAGGGCCTAGGAAGTAGGCGAGAATTGCGCCGCACTTCTGGCTAGAACCGTATGTGCCAAATCCATATATGAGGGTTTATATTCACACATCTCCCTTCAACAGCGGCGGATAAGTCTAAAGTGAAATGGAGAACAGATGAGCAAAGCTTTGAGCGCGGGGCACTTAGCTTTTATGGCCAAGGGGTCTGATGAACTTAGTCTCTCATGACTCAAGGTAGCAGAAGAAATTACAGAATGGGCGTTTTCTTGTCAGCATTCCTGGCAGCATTTACGAGCCACGGCGAATTTTTCGGATCATGTGCCAACTGGTCGTGTTTTTGTGTCATCCTTTACGCTTCACTTGAGGGGAAGTACGCAACTCATACGCAGGTGAATCTCTGTGAAGGCAGTGCAAACTCTTGGTTGGGTCCCAGTCGTTGTCGGTGAGATCTGCTTGAATCTCTTTCATTACCACATGGTTGCGGTTTGTTCGAGCTTAGTCCCGTTGCAACTATTCATTGCTTTTTGTCCGAAGCATATAGCAGTTTATGACTACACTATTGGCAACAAGCTGGCAGCGCTCTTTCAGTTTGTCAAGGACAACTCCGTATAAGAGAATGTGATCCCGTTCACATGTATTGCTGTCTGATGTCCAACGGGAAGTCTTCTGCCGAGTCTTGATCAACTAAATCTCTGGAAACTGCCGGTTCAACATATCGTGGGGGTTTCGATACAGATTCCATTATATAGCTGGATATTCAATGGATACTAGATAGTTCCATAGATATGCTATTAAGATCGGAGGCGGCGAGTTCAAACAGTGTTTGAAGAGAAGCTTGGCGAAGGTAGACGCACAATAAATGCGTACTCAGACAAAAGCAATGTTGTATTCGCTTCCAGTTTCAGTGCTTCAGACGTTGCCAAGGTCATGGCACTGCGGCTTTGTTCAAGCTGGAAATAACTACTACAGTCCGATGATGATAACTGTAGCCTTTACAGCCTCACGTTTCCATGAGGACGTATCGCTCATTATAAGGGATTTCAGATGATTGTTCTGCTGGAATGTTAGACAATCATTAGGGTTTAATGTGTTACATGCTCACTCAGTGATTTGTATTAAGCGTTTCGGTTCGGACCTCTGATCTTGCTCATCTGCGGTGTTTCAGACAGATATCTCGTTTTCGACGCTTTGAGCGTGGAATAGATAGAGTTCCGCCATCCGCTCAAGAATTTGGAGGTCACGGTGGGTTTCATTTTCAGGCCCTTCATCGAAGCGTCTCGGAGAGAAACCTCGTTACACTCCTGCCTCCATGCCCTCGGGCTTTACCTGTTCCGCTTGTGTTGCGAAAGGGCAAAACATAGGTTTTGCCGTAGTCTATCGGAGGCAAAAGTGGAGTTTTGCAATTTCGCAACACGCTGGCTGTGTGCCAAGCACGCGGGGCGGAGCTTTTGTGAGGCGCGTGCTTGGCACTGTTTTGACCATTCCGGTCTTTCGTCAGCTTAGGACCCACCCACCCACCCGAGACGGGGCTGCTGACAGATACAGAAGCGCGCCTAAGGATGCATTTAAGTTCTTGCAGGAATTTTGGAAGGGCGAGGCAAGGCATGGCAATGATCGAGAGGAAATGGGCAAAGTGTGCTGTGTGCATTCGCCTTACAACGTAGAACAAGCACGACCACGAGAAGAAAGATACGTCTCATATCGTTTGTGCAGTTGAGAGCATACAACGCATATGCAACACTAGGTTCTACCGTCTAGTTTTGATGTCAGTCGTTCCAGGGTGTTTGAGTCATTTGCTTCTTGGTGTTCTGGATGTATCGGTGAATTAGGAGGTTGTTTCGGAGATGTTGATCGACATTGTTCCTTGTTACGTGTTATACAGTCCCGTCAGCAAGGGCAACATCATTGTTTAGGTTCTCTCGCTCCCTTACTCTCCTTCCATAATCTCATTGATCATTAGCCTACAGGGCGTTTGTTGTTCAGTTGTATCAGTGGATAATTTGTGCTGGGAGCGTTCCCAATATTATGTTCATAGCTGACGAATGAACCTTCACCCCCCCCCCCCCTTGTGTTGCGAAAGGGCAAAACATAGGTTTTGCCGTAGTCTATCGGAGGCAAAATATTCGCTTACTCTGGCACCTACCATAAACTGCACAGTTTTTTGAATGCCCTCATGTTATTGCGGGGATTCACTTTCTCTGCTATTCTTTTGTTCACTTCTTTTTTCCACTCGTCCTCAACTTCTCTTGCTCCGTTGCAGGTATGCCTTTTCTTTCTTTACAATGTGTGAGAGCTTACAGCGAAGTAGACTCCGTGTTTCCTACCGTTTATTTTTGCAACTGCTAGGATTAGCAAGGCAACAATTTCATTCGCGGAAGTTCCTTGTTGTGCGGTACCCAGCAAATTGTTTATCACGTAACATCGGTAATACTACTAAGTTTGCACTGCTTAAATAACCTGGACAAATAATTAGCCTGGACTAATAAGGTGAACCACCGATGGTTCGTTGAGTTGTGCAGTTGCACCATGTGACCATAAACTTGACGCGACTTTGACCGACTTCTGGGAACTCCTGCTTCTTTCTTTATAAGGCTTATTATTCTAGTCAAATTGTTCCTTTAAGTAATTGTTTGATTTTTTCCAGTAATTGAAGATAGGGCAGGAATTATTTGGGTTTCATACCTCAACTTCCTCAAAATCCCATTACTTTTGCAACTTCTTCTCGTTCCAGACCACCCATACGCGCTGCTAGTAGCTTCCCGACATTATTGAATCAACGTGCCAGCTGCGTTTCAAATGGGTTCGGTCCTAATGCGGTGGTTCTCGACTTCACCCCCCCCCCCCCTCTCCCCCTCCCCCGTCGACTCATTGATCGATTCATTCCGCTGACGTAGCATATGACTGTCGGAGGCGTATGTCAGCGTGGGAAACAGCATCGGGCTACAAATCAACGCTCCTTCCATTAAATTCCTTAGTTTCTGTCGTTTCGAAACTTTAATGTTTGCGTGATCGTTAAACTTTTACGTTTTTATCGTTCCACTGCCTGCCAGACGGCGAAATGCGGTGTAATTAGTTCATTTTACAATCCTTTCTCTTTGTGGTTTGTACTGCTGTCAGTTTTGCACGTTTTCTTCTTTTCCTCTGTCACTTGCATGCTTATTTTTGGGTTTGATTTGATTCGAGATTTATCCTCCATTTATTTTCTTGTTAGACTTTGGTTTGAGCTGTTATCCGATCAACTTTTTTGAGGAAACAGCTGGCTGTATAGAATAACATAATCTTAAGAACCTATAAAACTCGGTCAAATGAATGGCTTGAGTCTGTCGTTAATCCTAATCACTTTGAGGGCTCTTTGGACTGCGTTCTATGGTACGTGCTTACTTTTTGGACTTTGGCAGGTGACAAGGTTTTGTGTTTCGTTTCAAACAATAGTTTGACCTTTTGTGTGAACGTCATTGTTTGAAATTATCTTTTGCTTCTCTATCTAGCGTCTTCAAATGTTTTTAATTCGAATTACTGGCCATACTCGCTCTTTATAATGGAGTGATCAAAATATCAGAACCTTTCTTTCTGATTACTCGACTTCATTATGCTCTGATCTTTTGGCTAATGTTTATGTCCTTTTTCCAGTTCGGAAGCGCTCAACAGAAGTACTTTTCCTCTACTTAACTTCCGGTTTCTTTGTGTTTCCTTTTTCTGACACTACAGGGATTCCGTGCTTTTGTTTTCTGCTATTTCTTGTTAGCGTTAGGAAGAAAAGGGAAGGACTTTCTTAAAACAGCGGCTATAAATACTCGGTCCTTTTTTTTTCCTTTAGCTGTTAGCATCAGGCAGGAAAAAATGAAGGAGATTTTCTGAGCCTTTTCTGTTTTTTGCACTTTACTAAACTCGCGATAGTTTACTGGCATCTTTGTGCTGTGATTTGATGCAACGATAATCGAAATTGAAACGTAAACAACAAAATGAATGGTCAATTCAACTTTTATGATTATATCATCTGCATATACTCTATGAAAATTCCTTACGTTATCTTTCAAGGCTTCGCACTTTCTTGTGTTCGCGCTCAGATTGCATATCACTTTTCGCTCCGACCTTATCGCCCCCGATCAAGATCACATGCCGGACATATGCTCACAAACCTTTCTTTTCTCGATAGTTGTTTGCGGCAGATTACAGCATAGCAGAATGAAAAACAACCTTATCTATGACCAGTTGAGGCTAGTACTTCACGTTTATGCGGCATATCACACTTTACTTCAGGTATGAGCCTCACTTGTCGTCACTCATTTTGATGAATCATTTCAGGCTGACAAATTTCGAGGCCATGTGTTAGGCCTCGGGCATAGTTCACGCAATTTAATCGTTGCGATTCAATCGCTACAAGACAACTGCAACAATGTCATTGCGTGCCGATCTTCTTGTATTCCGGTTGTGATAGTTATTCACTATTAGTCGTATTGAAAAGCTATCACAACCGAAATGCAAGAAGATCGGCATGCAGTGATATTGTCACAGTTGTCCTGTCGCAATCAATCGCGACGATGAAATCGCGTGAACTCTGCCCGAGGCCTAATAGCGTCTTTTGCTTACAGTCTGATCTTTAACTCTTTTTGGAAGTGTAGTATGAGCGCATTCCGCTGATGCACATTAAGTGCCAGGCGAAAACCTGCTTCCATCAGCTGACCCGATTGTTTTCCTCTCCTCCGATGATTTCTGATCAATTTGCACTGCCATTCTACACGGATGTCTCCATTTATTTCTATCATTCAGGATTAATTTGAGTTTATTTATAGGAGATTTGAGTGGATTTGAATGAACACTAATACGCGCAACAGTTTACTTGTAAAGGCCTTTTCCTCAGCGCTTGCATGGCGCTGCAACATTTCTACGCCTAACGCATCATATTCCACAGTTTTTGATGGAGAAAGGGCAAAGAATGCGTGGGTTTTTCATTATATATTACTCTTTCCTGTCAAGTTTTCCTTATGTACGTGACCTGGAATGACTAAGATTGATGATGTTTCTTCTATGTTTGCGCTACTGCATCATAAAAATTCGTGAATGTCAATTCTGTACTGCAAATCAATATGTTATCAAATATGAAATTGCAAATTGGTTAAGTATTTCAAAGGATTTTTACATGCCGGCTATCAAAACATGCTAATAACATAACTTTGGGGCCTTCTTAGGATTACATACTTTCAAAGTATGCTTTAAATTCACATCAGGTTAGTACCAACTTGCTGATTACGAACATTAGGGCCGTTTATTGTAGTGATTACCTATGAAGTTACGGTAGAAGTGTGGTGCAAAGCCCACCTTTATGTTTTCGTACTATTTTTGTACTCTGCCAACATAAATTTGCGAAGTTTTGCTTAGAATGTGCAGTCGCATATTCCTTCTGGAAACTTCTAGTTGAGCAGAAATCCCAATGTTCTTTTCTGATTTTCATCCCTAGAGAATAGGAATGTGCAGCAAACTCTTGCTGCTCTCAAACTAATCCTCTTAATTATTTGTTAGGAAGTGTATGACTCACGTTGGAAAACTTTTTGTAAGACTTTATTTTCATTGTCATTTCCTTAAACCGAAGTTATCTGGCTTTTGTCAGTGAATCAGCGAATTGCTTTGGTGAAAACTCTTATTTTCCTTTCCAAAAAAATTATTTTCATTGGCATTATCACTTCTCTTCTGGTGGCCAGCCCACGCTTCACTTTATATAGTGCTTCACCCATAAAATAATTCTATCCGGCCATTCATGTTTAACAAGAATGTATGGTTCTATTCTATATTTTCTAATCGGAAAGCAATCGAATCAGGCTTCAGGGAATCTTTCATGGTACGTCCCTTTTCGGCTATCTACAATTCTTCTTCGTAACGCATTAACATACTAATGTAGAACTTTAGTTTTGGACTTGAATATAGTGTACGAAAATCCTGGGAAGGTTTGTACGGAAGCGTAGCAAGCAAGTGTAATGAATCACCACACTTTCTCGACCAGAAGTTTTTGTAAGGCGGCCACTTCGCTCAAACACATGTTGTTGGTTTGTCTCGGAATGCTGATTCGAATTCTACTCTGATGGTTCTCTGAATAATGCGGGCATTTCTATTTGCACGCGGCAGTGGGCGAGCGAAATGTAGTTTCTTGAATGCAGGCTCGTTTACTCGAACAGCGCTATAGTCCATTTATCGTAGCCTGGACTCCTTCAACAGGATAGGTCAAAGGCAGCGTCCCAGCAAATTTTTGCTGTCCAATTTTTCACCTTCTCGCCATGATAAACTCATATCTGGACTTTTCAGCGCTTGAAGAAGGCGAAAATGAGCCTTTTTTGAAGCTTTCCAGGCCCTCATCCACTAAAAATACGCTGGAAGTCTTCCCTTCGCTTCTTCGTTCACTCCGCCCGCTTACTCGTGTTTTTCACTCAATGTGGGTTTGGAAAGCTTTGAAAAAAGCTCATTTTTTGCATTTTCATGCGCTCAAAAACCCAGATATGGATTCATCATGGCGAGAAGGCTCGGAAAGGTGAAAAACTGGAAAAGGAATTTTGCCGGGACACTGGATTTGATAAGACTAGCGGGTAAAGTGCTTTTACTTTTTGAATTGCTCAAATACACATCCAGATTTTTATAGCCAGCCATTAAACCTGAAAGCAAACAAGTCTTCCGCTATGTTAAAGACCCTTGAGCGGAGGCGAAAGAAGTCTGAGAATGAGCTTTAGAAGCACCAAGGAGGTGCTTCGCGTTTCGCATAAGAAATGCTCACTTCGTGATGCGCATTACGTGCGAGGAGTTATATGATGCTGTGTCTTTCGTGCGTTCTTGGTTTTCCGCAAAATATGGACAGTAGAGCTTGAGTAAGGTCACCCTACCGAATTCTTTTTTGTTTCATCGAAGTACTAGCTGAGATTTGCTTATGATTTACCATGCATTACTGACGAGGATGCTGAGTCTCAGGTAACAAATTCGTATAGGCTGCTGCATGACGAAGGCGCAATATCTTTGGGCACGGACGCGGCTTTTAGCCACAGAGCGCATGAGGCGCAGGATTTGCAACGGTGAAAATACGCGCGCGAAACGTTCGCACCCGCTCACCTAATGCTGCTTCTGCGCCTTCGTCATGCAATAGCCTTTATTTGCAAGGAAAGGAAGGTTAGTCGAAGTGGCCTTTCTGTGTGGGATGTGTACTGACTTGAACAATAGGAAAAGTTGTTTTTAAATATACCTACCTATCTTACCTGCTGCGGTTTCTGAGCAAAGAGTTCTGAAGGTTTTCATGGACAAAAGGGTTTAGTGCATGATCAGTGTAGAATCGTTGACTATTCCTAGCGTTTCGAGATGGCAGAGTTAAGTGGATATATTTAGATTAAGAATATTTATTGTACAAAGTAACCCGGAAATTATTCGATCCGTAGAAAAAATGTTATGACTGATTTTAGCTGCACAAGCAAATTTTTGCTCATAAAAACCTTCGTAACTCCTCGCCCATGAACCCGGCAATAAGGAAGGTAGATTTGGTGTTAGCGTTTCGTACCCTTCAGGGCAGCATCCATCTCATATTTATAAGGCTACTTCGACCAACCTTCCTTTCCTTGTAAGAGAATTACCTCATTTCCTTTAGCTTCGTTTATTTTTTCGCTAGGTCTCTCTAACTCTTTTATCTTTGTTCTCAGTGCATTAGGGCAGCTGTTTTTTCTCAGCGGAACACACAAGCATATCTCTGTTCAAATCCTCCATAATCAGCTCAAAATAGCGTTAATTGATGTGTATGTCTTTCCACATCAATGGAGAACCGGTGAGTCAAACTTCTCAGAGTGAGCTTTCACTCTTATTGTGCGCAGCGGTGGTGGTCTATGATATTTTCAAATCATCTATGGCTCTCCGACACAAACAGAGACGACCGAGTATTATCGTATCTGCTTTGCATGAACTTTGATCATGAGCAGGGTTGAGCAAGAGGTCAGGCACAAGTCTTTCCAAAACGACCCCCTCCCCAGTGAAAGTCCCTAAACGACCCCTTTGCTTCACCTCCAGGACCTCAGGCTGTGATAATTCGAAGAGATCAGCTGTTTTTGGGAGTTCTTGTTTTTGGAGGTCTGTAGGTCGACTTTCTGCGATTGCACAGCACACGCAACTTGACGGCAAGTTTTGGATTTTGGATAGCCCTACTTTTAGAGCTATAATTCCCACAGGGGTGTATTGTTTGGCTCCAAATTTGCAGTATTGCAAGAAGAGGCTTTGAGTTCAATACTCATAGCAGAAATGGAGCGATTTTTAGATTTTGAAAACAAGTTAATCGGGTCAGGCGCAACCCCTCAAAAGCTCAGGCGGCCTGACCTTTTGTGGGGTTGCGCCTGACCCGATTAACTTTATCATTGAAGAAGCTTTTTTATTCAAGTTTTATGTGAATCGCTAGCACAACCCTCGAAGATTCCACAGTAAGTGTTTGGACTTGATTCGACTTGTTTCGGCCTTGTGGTAATCCGTTGAGTTAAAGCAGTCATGGCGAAAAACGCGCCGGTCGGAATTTTGGCATTATTTCTTACTCCACTATTTGCAAGCGATACAAAGCGCGATTTTTAGCCTAGACTAGTGGGGAACAATACTTTGTTACGAGTACAAAAAAATCGACTTTTCTCACTTTTGAAAACAAGTTAGTCATGTTTGAAAATCACGCTTTTTAGTCGTTGAGAAACACTAGATAATGCAGTAAATAATGGTTTGTAGGGCTCATAGAGGTAATTTGACGTGCTCGGAAATGATACCCATTTCACACAGCAAGCTTCCTTGATGAATTTATAATATGTCAAGGTAGAAGAGAAGATTTGAGTTTTGGCCGAAACTTCGATTGTGAAATCAATCAGTATGCTGTTTAAACCGTTCATTCCTTCAGTACTGGTGAGGTCGCGATATCCACTAAACTAGCGCTTTTCTTCTTCACCTTAATCGTAGTATCTCCTCAATCGAATGAATTCGATTCCTAATCACGACCCCCCCCCCTCTGTCTTACCCCAGTACGACCCCCCAGGTCGGGCGCGCCTGACCCCACGCTCAACCCTGATCATGAGGCACGTCTGCGGGAGGCCTGTTTACTCAGTGTTTGTTCATGAGAATCTGTGAGCCGTGGGTAGTTATTTTGCATTGACGCAAATAAACAGCTGACCCGAAGAGTTGGCAATTCTCAGCTCAAGGATAAACCATTTTTTTTGCATTTTGTTTACCTTCAAAGTTATACACACTGTTTGTCAACATTCTCCATTGTCTAAGGTTCAGAAACACTTTCTAGTCTAGTCCACACCACATATTATAGATTTTGTGGCGAATTTAGTGGATCTGTGGTAAAGACAACATTTGCGCGAAAACGGACGTCATACTACATTCTGCTGGTGAGCTGCGCTTGAAAAGTACCCATAAGGCGCAAGCACACTATATTGAGCGGATTACTCGACTATTTATACGCATGTCGATATCGGTGAAATTGGAAGCGGATCCAAATCGCGTGCGAGCTAATCCTCTATGCACCGGTTTATCCACACAGAGTAAAGAGGAACTATAATGAGGTCTACCCCACTCGTCCCACTTTTGGCGATTGTAATGGGCCCACGCGGGCACTTTTTTCCATCTCGAGTATACACATTGTCGATCTAAATTGAATTCGCACAGTGGTCCTCATTGACACGCATCGCGATTATTAGAAAAACTTTACAGTCGGAATCGTCAGCACACGTGGCGATAGGGCGTTTCGCAGGAATGCTTCGTGCAACGGTAGCGAATTCATTCTTCAATACTGCTTTATTTGCACGATTTCTTGCAAACATAACCCTTGAACAAATCAATTGTTACCGTTTACTCTTGAATTAAAAGTTATAGTGGCGTTTTTCCATAGTTTTTGACAAGATTTTTGGACAAGTCCTTGATCAACTGCACTTGCTCATGAGGCTCATGTCGGCCTGTAAATGACGGTGTTTGCCCGTTTGAGTGTCGTCATAATAATTTTATCTCGTGTGCAGTTCATCTGTACCGTAAATCGAGAGACACACTTTTTAAATCTTGACTTTCTTGTAAGATTTGATGAATTAATTGTGCTGCTCCGTTTTGCGGTACATCGCAGTTACAACTAACTCATTAGTTTTAGATGTAATGACATGCGCCATATTTTTTCTCTCACATTATCACAGTTCTGCCCCGTATGATTAGACGGAATCGATTCGATTGTCCACGCAGTTTTGGGTATTTACACTTCTCATTGCTAATTCGGAGCCCTAAACGAACCATTGTTCTGGCAGCTCGTATCTGAGATTAGGAAATTCAAATTTAAACTCTCGCTTAGTACCGTATGCGAGGATGTTCATTGGTCGAGTCGCAATAATACGGTACTGGGCAGTAGTTTAGTCTTGAATTTCTCTGCCACGAGTGTATTATACGATTCGTTGACCGCACGGACTGCACATACCCTGCGGACAGTGGCGTACCGAGGGGGGGGGGCGCCCCCCCCCCCCCCGAGAACGGGTCGCGAAATTTTTGAAAGTTACTTACATGAGTCATAAAAATGTGCAAAAGACTTATTTATACTTGTAAGTATTTAAAATAATTTTTAAAATTTTTAAAAATTCAATTTAGCTTTATAAAAAAATATTTTCGGGGGCGTGGCTGACGCTACGCCCCCTTTTTCTAAAAATTTTGGGTTATAAGCCCGCGAAAATTTTCAGAAGCATACCAAAAATTTTTTTTCGGTGCGTGGCTACCGCCACGCACCTTCATCAGAAAAATTTTTTTGTCGCGCCCCCCCCCCCTCCCCCGAGCCGAAATCCTGGGTACGCCACTGCCTGCGGACCATGCGCGGCGTGGCTTACTTGTCGCGAGAGCACGACTTTACAGTGGCAAATTTGTACTGGGGCAAGTGTTTTACCTCGCGGCGCGTGCTCTACAGTGATGTCCAGTCCGCGCGGTCAACGAATCAACTGTACTTACCTTTGAGAAGTAAAGATTACGGCCATACGAAGGCGCAAAATGAGTACTAGGGCGGGCACGAACGCAGTGCGTGTATATTTACTGTTGTACAGCCGAGTAACATTTCCGCTTGATATAGTGTGCTTGCACTGGAAATGCTGTAAAGTTTGCGTGTAAACAAATAGCTACGCCTAATGCCGATCACTTTCGCGCACAAAATGCCATTATTGCGTGGCTATTTGTTCACGCGCAGATTTTACCGCATTTTCTCGGCATCTCAAGCACACTACATCAAGGGGAAATCTAATCGACTGTAAACCTGCGCCTCAGTCCTCTGCGGCTAATGAAGCCGAGTTCGCGCCCCTAGGTTTAGCGCCTTCGTGCGGCAGTAGTCTATAGCTTAGGCAAGGTCCCTCTATTAATACTCACCTAAAGTCTAGATACCGGGACTACATTGAACAATTTTTAAACATAGCGATAGAACGACCTGGGATGGTTTATACTGTACAGTAATGCCGTGTTGTGGGCTTATTGTCTTGGTCGGTTAAAGGGTCTTCATGCCGAATAATTACGCTAGATGATAAGTTCACTCGGTTTGCCCTCAAGACTGTTAAAATTTTCGTGGTTTAGTCAGGCATGAAAATAAAATTGCACGTTGGGTTTATTGAAATCTTTTTATGAAGTTCACGAAAGACCAAATAGAGGATGAAAGAAATCGCGATCGCGACCTAAATGTAAACACTTCCATTGATCCACTCTTTTTTTTTTGTTGTTTGCTCGTGCTCAGCACGCATGTAATGACACGTCATTGTTAGGGTTTTACTGATAGACACATTGTGTAATCGCAGCTTATCCAGACTTTCTGCGTTCCTCAACAAAGGCCTTCTGGTTTCTGATGCATAAATAAACGAATTAAGTCGTTCCTTTGTTGATCTATCATTCTTTCAGTGTTTAACGTACGTGCGTTTGCCTCATGTAAAAAAGACTGTATTCCACATTCTTTCAGCATTGAGACCTCATTGGACGCAGTGATCACGACGGCGGGCTGGGCGTTCTGGCGAGCGCTGGTGGGGCCAACTGCCGAAGATGAAGAGGCAGCCCGCCTTATCGCCATCGAGAAACAGGAGAGGGAATTTCACGAATTTGTACGACAACAGATTGTGAGTTTTTCTTTTGTAATAGCGAATTTAATGATTTTTTTATCTGCATTCATCACTTCAAAAGGTTTTATTTAGAGCAAGATCTTCCTTTCTTGTAGTCGCTTTCAACCCCTCCCCTGAGAGCTAATTTTGGCATATATCTTTACTTGGAATTGTTTTTTTTTTGGTTGCAATGACAGCTTGCATGTTGGTTCGAATTTATAAGCATGTTAAATGTCAAATCACACTAGTTGAATCAGCAAATATTTGCTTTTCACTTGCGCACGTGTTAGCAAAAGGAATTCTGGCTTCAATTAGGAGTGATAATATTCCGCAAACATGGCACTTATGGCACATCTATTGATAAGTGGTCTGTAAAAAAGAACTCTGCTACCACGCTGGTACACTCATTTTTGTCACTTACAAATAACAAAAGCCTAGTTGGGATTTGGGCTTCTGATGACCATCTCACCTTTAGCTACCAAAACTTATGGCTCCATGAAGTTTTTCTTAGAGTCAGAAGCCTTTCTTGAAGCATATATAAGTGAATCATTGAATTTTCCATATTATTCCCACAATTGAATTTTCAGATCTGTCTTATAATATTCATCTCGCTCTATCTGCTGTCGTACTGGATAATCTCATTGTTCAAATCGAAGTCGGACAGCGATTCATTGTATTCTGGTGATGAAGATTACTTTGTATATAGAATTAGGTGAGTATTCAGATTTCCTTGAGCGTTATTTTTTCGGGAAACCATAAATCTTGTTTTTCCAGTGTGTGGATGTGCTCAGCTTCACTTGCTATCTCAATAGGTTCAATTGCACTTTTACCATTTTCGGTAATCAGCTCAGAACTTCTGCAACGATACCCGGACAACTACTACCTACAGGTTTCTCAATTGCCTTTGTTCCTATCTCCATAAATTCACGGCTTTTTTGCAGTGGATGTCGTGGTCGCTGATAAATAGCCTGTGGAATTATGTATTTGCGCTTTCGAATCTCAGCCTTTTTGTTCTCCTGCCATTTAGTTATTTTTTCATCGAATCACAGGGTTTCAGCAAGACCAAAAATGTAAGTTTCTTTGTAGCCATAAGTGTGTAATTCTTCTCTTATGAATCATTCATGAGCCTTCGTTACAGGGTATTATGCAGCGGGTTTATGAAACACTAGCTGTGTGCGCATTGCTCATTGTAGTGATATTGTGCCTAGGAGATGTAGTATTGACTCTCATGTCATCATCGGTGAGTTTTTGAGACTATTTTTATTCATTTTTTTCTCAGTGTTCTCATCATCTACCAGAATAGTTTTTCAAAGGAACCATAAGACAACATTTTGAGCTTATATCTATCTTGTAGCTATGGTATGTGAAGACTTTTCATAGTTTTTGGATTCTATAGTCTCCGTACATGTTTGGAATGCAAAATTGCAAATGTACCGAAATCGCATGAACCATTTAAGGATTGGTTTCTGAATTTGAACTGGGAACTAGTGAAGACTTCCTAACTTTGAAGAAATGTTTGAATGTACTTGCGCTTTCCTCTCTATTTTCTAGTTTGCAATACTACTTCATCATACGTATTTCAACTAATTTTTTGCAGGTTTCCTTGATTAGTATAACATCTGTAAATCTGCCACTCATTTATTCCTTTGTATCACTCGCCGGAGTGATGCTACTGTTGGTGTCGACACCGATAGGTTTCGCAAAAATGTTTGGTATTGTTGGGGAAATGACCATGGTTAGCGATTGTTCTTTGATTTATGGCTACTGCTGCGGCAGTGCCCACATGGATAGGCTTATGGTAGTTTCCTCTTCAGAACTCAATCTCCACTCCAGACCAGGACGATATTGTGGTAAATCGTCTGGAGAGATACTGCCAGCAACGAGCGGAAGCCATGAACAGCTATACAATAAATAACAACATCAAGAAACAAGACTTCGGTAATTTTTTGTGAGAGGAAGTTTCTACGCTGCCGTACGCTGAAATACTAGTTTAGACGGTCTTTCAACGTTATATTCGCCAGCATCGCATGGATATTCACCGTTGCGACTGAGAGCCAAGGTATACACGAATGGTATGTTGATTTTCAGTGTTGCCCTCTTATGACTTTTTATAAATGTTTTTGCGAGGGAGAGGGAGGAAGAATAGGGAAATTATGCCCGGTGCCCTAAAGGGACTCATTGCTGTTCATAATTCGAAAATAAGAACTCAAGCTCATTGTTTGATGCTGTTGAGCTCACTTGTTATTCGCGCTCTTTAAGGAAATGCTGTTGGTGCCGGCGATTGTGGCGATCCGTACTACTTGTTCTCTTCATCAGTGTACGGATATACTCCTCTAACAAATGGCTCCTTTTCTTCCATAGGTGGATATGGAGATTGTGGAATGCGCTCGTCTGAGAAGTTTCAAGAAGTAGGTGGACTCTCGAACCAAAATATGAGCAATGGCTGGGCTAATGGAGCCGCTGTGGGAATGCGTCATCGAAGTGCTATGGCTAGCCAGGTAAGGGTTTGCTTTTTCCATCTCTTTGATCTTTTTAGTTGATTTTTTTCTGCTTTAATTTTGGCACTAAGTTTGCTTGTTTCCTTTCGTGCATGTTACTAGCGAATCTATTCAGCTAATTGAGGTGATTGTGGCCATGCCTACACTTTTCAGTTTTGCTCTAAAGTGCGACAGAAGTCTTTGAAATGGTGCCAGCAGTTTACTCGTGTCATCAAGTTTCCTGCCATTGTAGTCAGTTTACTGGCTTTGACGGTGAGCACATTCGGTTGCAAAACTTCCTTTGTTCTTTGGACCTTGCTAATTTAGGGAATTTCGTTGTTGATGGTGCTGATCAATTCTTTGAAGCTGATGTTTGGATTTCGAAGCTTACCAGCGTATGCACAGTACATGGAAGTGCATACAAGACATTCTCTAGGTATTCTTGGCGTGACTATTGAGAGTATCACGATCATGTGAGTTCTCAAAACTAATTACTTTGATGTTCCTTCCTGATTCTTTGATTAGAAGTGATTAAGAGGACAAAACATGCCCTATTCATCGCGTAAATCACACAACTTTCGAGTTCTTTGACCTTATTCCCTACCATGTTATGCTCAACTCGTTGTGACAGATGGCACATTAATTTGCTAGAACATCCTTGTGTCGCGTACCCGTGCTAGTCAATGGGAAGCGTTACTGGGGAAGTACTAGCTTCTGAAGACGACATCTTTTTATTTGAGGAAATTACCGTAATATTTCAGGTATGTGATGGCAACTTCTCTTATCGGTTTCTATTCGATGCCTTTTGTACGAGCTTTACGTCCCCATCGAACCAATACTTCCCTAACAGTTATTATCATCAACTGTAGTCTGGTAGTGGTTCTCAGTTCAGCGTTGCCTGTACTAGCAAATACATTGGGTGAGTTCATATATTTAATCTTGTTTTTTCTTCTGTTCTTAAGTATCCAGACTAGAACTTCACCCTTACAGGGATTACATCCTTCGATCTTCTTGGTGCATACTCATCTTTGAAATGGCTTAGCAATTTCAAACTAGTGTTGGCGTACAATCTGCTATTCGCGGCTGCTACCATAGTCTGCGTTTTCTCGAAGATCACCAGTCCAGTACGAAAACAAATATTGAAGAGGTGAGCAATTTGTTAATATTTTATGCCTACTTTAACAATGAGCACAGTAAATTAGATCATCTTTGGTTTATGAAGGTTTGTTTCTTTACTGTTTTCCCTCCAGCATACCCGTTAGTTGTTGTTTATTTGCATCACAAACTTTCCAAAACTTCTATAATATTCCGGATTTTCTTGCTTTCGAAATTGCGTTGTTTATTTGCATCACAAACTTTCCAAAACTTCTATAACATTCCGGATTTTCTTGCTTTCGAAATTGCAGATTTGATCTTTAGTTTGTTGTCATTTATGCCCAATTGATTCTGCACTTTTCCTTTGTCTCAAATCTCTATATTTTTCGGTTTTCTCATAAAAATTTTCTAGGTTTCGACAACTTCGATGTCGTTGCTCAGTGTCAGTGGACGACGAAGCTACGGAGAAGATCGAGTAGAGCCGCATCGCATTTTCTAGCGTTAGATGATATTTAGGCACAATTATATGATTGTAAATATTTGTAGAAAAAGCATTTTTTTGATCTAGAAAACAGCTAGCTGTTGAATTGAACATCATCAAATCTGTACAGGACATACATCTTCTTTGCTTTCCATCTCTTCCTCTTGAAGACATTCCATTTCATCTCACTCTAGAATTAGTCAACTATCCGCTTTCGGCTTTAATCTTGGTCGTTGTTGTTTATCACATTTTTGCGATGAGAGATGTGCATTTGTGTTTCTTAATGTTTGTTTATCATGCGAATGCGTCTTGTTGTTGTTTCACCCTTGTATACGAACTGTACGGGAATTTGAAGTCACATCGAAGAGTGCCTCGGTGCTTGCTACAGATGTGCTTTCCTCCTCTTTCATTAGTCATGAGTACCAAAAGTTGTACTGTTTTTGTTCAGAGCTTTCTGTGCAATAGTTCATAAGCTGTGCTCATAAAAAGTGCGCTGTAAAGTTAATCTAAATTAAAGTTCTGCATGAAAAGGAACGTGAACTGTCAAAGTACTTAGGTGCAGCGTGGTTTGTCAGTCAATCTGAATGCACAGAAGGTGCGCAAAACATATAGAAAGGGGAAAAGCAGTAAGTCAACTTAGATGAGTTTTCAAACGAGGTTCGCTTTGGATATTGAGAAATCCTTTGGCTTGTGTTGCCTTACATGGACATGTGTGAAGAGAAGTCATCAAGGCTCGGCTGAATATAGGCCTGGCACAGTAGCCATAGAAGCAATAGACTTCATTGTTAGCATTAATATAATGGTAGTAATAATAATAAATGGTTAGAACCAGGGTCAAGCGTGGGGTGCGGCACGCCACACCTGGGGGTCGTATTGAGGAGTCAAAAGGGGAGGGGGTCGTAGTTGGGTAATCTGATAATAGTGATAACATGATATTTGTATCATATCCATAATTAGCATATCAATTAACCCCTGTAGACAAAGTGTGAGCGAATTCTGAAGATTCAAGATACTAGGCTACCTAAATGAAATGGTCAAATTCCAACATGGTTAACTTTGTTTCAAAGGTGAATTAGCTATCCGTTTTTGCACTCAAGACAAAGCACTACTCCTTCTTTGTCCACCTCAGGAATCCCGCTTCAGAAGACCTGCAAACTGTGGACTTAGAAGCCAACCAAAATCTCGTTTTTCCCACTTTTCGATTTTGATCGCTGTGCTTTCACCAAATATTACTCAGAGCTAAGAAGACGAATCAGGCTCCAAACAGTCCTATGGAATCTACAAGGTTTAGGCTATCGATTCATATAAATACTGTCCGCTAAAAATGTTTTTTGATATAGTTAATGGGGTGCGGCACACCCCCTTAACTTGCCTTCAAAATCCAGAAAGCGCTCCATTGCTGGTATGAGTATTGAGCACATAGCTTCTTCTTGCTACACTGGAAATTTGGAGCCGAACGCCCCACCCATAAGAAAATTATGGCCCTTTCAATATGCCCATTCAGATCAAAATCATCCGTCAAATTACGTGTGATTGTAAAGTGCAGTCACAGAAAATCGGGCGTACTGCTCTCAGAAATCTGAAAACTATCCAGAAAAAGCTGTTGTCCTTCAGAATTCACACTTTGAGGTCCAGAGGTTAAGAGGAGGAAGAAGGGGTCGTTTGAGGGCTTTCATGGGAGGGGGGGGGGGAAAGACTTGTGCCTGACCTCTTTCTCAACTGTGGTAACGCTATCTTAGTATATAGTTCAGGGGGGGGGGTAACCAGCGATCGTGTGCCACACCCCTTGCTTGACCCTGGTTAGAACTAATTCTCGGTAATTAATTACAAAACTCCGTCTCGTTCCTGCTCTAAGACGGAGTTAAAGATTTAAGAAACAAAGGTATACCGTAAAACTTGTACTATTATAATATCCTGTGTGCCCCAGAAAAGTTCCCATCTGAACCAGCGTGCGTATGTGGTGCGACGCTGCCTTTCGCTCTTTTTGACATGTTTCCCCTGAGATTTCAACGGAATTCCCCGAGGTTAACACTTTCAAGAGAGCGGAAGGCAGCGAGATGACGTATTACCTATGGGAATCTGGCTGGGGAACAAACGATAGATCCTATGAAAACACTCGCTTACTTCTTCAAGAACAAGTTGGTACACGACTGACATGCTCTAACGTGTTCTCACGTAAGCGCGCGAAATTCGAATACAGGAAAGTGTGATGCGGTAGGAGACAATCTCAATGCCTCTGTAGTGGTAAACTAGGGGGCGGGGTGGGTGCAGATACATAACTCGATGCCATAATAAATTCCGGTAGAAGTAAGAGAGAGAGAGGTTTTATTGCATTTACAGCTACATTTACAGCTTGCATTTTGCGCGTATCAGCCGAGGGCCATATTAATAACGCGTGCTTGGCAGGTATTCGTCATTCCGGTCCTTAGTCAACATGGGACGACCCACCCCTAGTCTGGGTTGTGAAAGGTAATCGTTATATCCTGGTAAACGGCAGTGGCGGCGGTTCGGCTTTTCTACTTGGCGTCAGCTTTCTTGTTCTGGAAGCATGAGAACCTGTGCTGAGTTTTGAAATGCGCTGGGGCGTAAGTGATCCATTTGGGAACCTTCTACCAATTCTTCCTTGTTCAATCGGCTCACTGATGATCAGAGGAGATGTGCCGATATATTCGGCACTTCTTACAATCTTATCAATTCTCCTCGGACCAAACGCCGATAGCTTTGAGGTCACCAACTGCGACTTCCATTGATATGTTTGTGTTGATATGCTTGATATAGTTTGCTCCGCCTATCAGGAGCAGCATTCTACCACTGCCCGAAGGAGGGCATGTTGATTCTTTCAATAAAACTTGTATAAGCTTATATGTTCTGCATAGACACAAAAGGAGCCACCAAACTCCACTTTCGGCCAAACAATAAGAGTGGTACTTTACAGAAAGAGAGCCGAAGAAACAGCCGATGATGATCGCTGTGGTGCAGGTTGAAGAAGCAGCAGAGCGCTAACTGAGTCATGCTTCGACAGCGCACTGGTAGCAGAGACATCTCGAATCTACAGAAGAGCACAAGAGGACTTCTTTGAATTCAAGGCGAAGTTCAGTCTCTGTGTCTGCGTTATGCAGGCTCCGAAACGTTTAAATTGCACACCTGATCGACAAGAAGACATGCATGTCCGGATGCCATGTTGCGGCGCTAGAGCATTTTTTGACCCCTTGACGCGAGAGGATGACGAAATCTTGTTTGATTTGTGGAGTGAAGCGGACCCTCCTCCGGCAAACACCAAAGGAATAGTACTCAGGAAAACGTCGGCGCGGTCATTAATTGAGCATTGCAGCAAAAAACTTCGCCCCGAGAGCGGAGGGGGGGGGGGTGTTATCGCCCAGCGATGATACTTCTGGCATTCTGGCAACCTAGGATACGACCTCTGAAGGCGTGACTATACCTCACCCGCAATTCGGGTTGTAGTGTCTATTGCCAGAAAAGGCTGCTCATTAGCTGTGCATTTTTTACAGTGAATCCTGAACCCACCTTTGCTATTTGTCATCCTTACCGGCCTTAGCTCAAGAGTCTCTAGTTCCCGCTTTAGCTTGTTGCACCTGCCAAACTAGCCAACTTACTCCCGCATCACAGAGTGATATCTGCGATAGCCAGGAGGTGAGACTGGCGTCTAGTAATCACACGGCGTAGGTAAAGGATATTCGTCGACGACTGCCCCGACTCGTGTAATTACACCATCGCGCGTGTGCGTTTACGGAGCCTTTCCAGCTCTACTTTCCAGTACGCTGCAGCGCGCGGGGAACTTGCTGCTCGCAGCATTCCTGTCCTATAATCTTCTTTGCTACTTATGCTCTATTAATCACTTTTTCTTCGATTTTCATTTCGGGAGAACTTGAACATCGAATATCCTACAAATCCTGTGTGCGTGTACCAGGCAACGCCCTGACTGAGCTACTGTTAAGCTCTCCTCGAAAAGCTTAGAAAGGAAGCTTTGTCTTCTGGTTTTTTTCTCCTTTTTCTGGAATGCAGAGTTTCAAAGGTGGTGCTATCTAAGCATGATCTAAATGGACCATCGGCCACAGGTCGCCAACTTTGCGGTTTGCGGTGTTGACGAACTCGCGTGCTGTTAGTGTTTGCTGACACCTCCAGATTTCATGAGGAAATTGCATTTGTTGTGATTACGTGTGTGTTTTTTTGCCAATTCCTTGCCACTGGCATCCTGTACACACCGTCAAATCGCAAACCTGGCAATAGTTCTCGGCAACCTATGGCCGATATTGGTGATAAGTTTGTCGAATTCATTCTGGTCGGATGAATGCAACCCGACAATTTCCATCTAACGTAACTTCATTCAAGAATATTCCAAAGATGTGAAGCGCGAATAAAATTCAAAGTCAAAAGTGCAAGTCACTAGCCATCGGCGGGAGGCGGAGCTTTAGAGAGTCGGAGTTGGAATGGCTCGGCTCTGGAGAGCGGCCTCCTCTCCCCTGTGGCTGCGCGCTTCCCGTCTGGACCCTCGTGAGTGAATGTTGTTTTGAAGTATGTCCGCTGTTATTGTGGTGTTTAATGTGCCTAATCATGTACTTGCTTTGCAATTTCCCATATTCCTTCTTTAATGTGCTTTATATATTTATTCCGCATTGCTTTTGCTGCTTATAGATAAAGGTGTGGTTAAAAGATTCTTAGTTTTGAAGAGTAGGAACGGAGATGTAAAGGATCGGAGTTGCGTATGAATATCAACAATGTCGGCGCCCGCTTGCACATAAAATCAAAGTCTACACTTCGGAACCGCGGGCGTTATATGGAGGTTCCGGCGAGATCACGAAAATCGATAAGATGGCGAAAACCAGCGGGATGACGAATCGGAAAGATCGCGGAAATTTGTGGACTCACGGTGGCGAGATCATGGAATTTATGAGCTACGAAAATTGGAGAGATAACAACATCGGCGAAATTGTTGGAAACAGTGAGAAGAAGGTTTTGAGTGAGAGACACGAGATAGAAGTACTACCAATGCATGATAGCTTTTGCAATGGCGCCACGCAAAATCTATCATATTTTCTCGTTGTCTTACATTTGTATTTGGTTTATGCTATCCTTGGCTGTGCATACGATCACCGCTTCTGCTTTTGCATGCTTAGTAAGTTTCAGCTAATAATCGGCAAGATGACAGTCACACTCGCTCATTTTTTTAACCGCGAAGGAAGAAAATGCCGAAAGAATAGTGGAAAGGAAACAAATATAAGTGACTGGGAGGAAAACTCCGACGGGTAACGTAGAGAGCGAGAAAGAAAAACCCTGCGCAGGTGACGCTCAACTTCGCGGATAAAGTTAGCAAATCAATGTTTTGAGCGTTCCAGAAAATGTATTTAATGTGTTTTATCGCTTTGCTTTGCTTGCTGTTTATGTTTTTGTGATCGTATGTTCAGATTTCTGGAAGAAACAGGTGAAGGTACGCAATTGTTCTACGTCTGAGCTGTAATGGTAACGTTTAGTCTTTACCCATTCTCTCAAGTGTGCAAAATTTGCAGCGATTGCAGGAGTGCAAGCTCATTCATTGTGGTTGCGAAAGTTCGACTTGCAAAACAGAAAGTGCAAGTTAGTGCCGCGCCCTTTGAGTTATGGCATCGTAAACCTGACATTTGTGAATTATTGCCCATAGACCTTAGGTGTAAAGCAGTTTCGCTGCAAAGATGCTTATCGTAACTGATTTGTTTCCGCTCGCCGCTCGTGCACTTTTAACCTCGCTGCAATGAATCGTAGACTCCGAAATTTATGTGGCCTCGGGCTCCCCTCATTATTCTTTCCATTTTGTACTTTTGCACAAATGCTCTTTTAAGTTTGAAGGAGGAGCCTTTGCTCCTTACTCGCAATTCCGATCGTGCCCCGTGCGGTAGGTTTTAATCTGATTTATAGTAGTGTACGTAAGAGCCTTCAAAATTGTCGCTCCGCTTTTATGTGTTTAGGTTAGAAGCCAATCATCAAACTCTCATCCTCTGGTGCGCTCAATTTCAACTCAAGTTTCTATCCCCTCCTTCAACTTCCAGTAATAGGAGGTGAGTCTTTTGTATTAGTATTGATATTGGTTAGTTTTCTCTCTCAAGTTTTCACAGAGTGATATTATTGTGTAGTCCAAAACCTGAACTTGTTTTGAAACTGAGTTTCTCTGAAAATATTATTCTCTCATTTTTCTTTCTCCTTCAATTTCTTATTACTTTTGTGTAAAAAAATCCATAATATTCATATCTTTCCTTTTTCCTTACTCTCTCTCCTTCTCTCTCTTAACACTGCTGTCCAAGTTCCAATCCCCCGAGACCCGTAAGTTCATCTTGGTGCAATCTCCATCCAAACTGGAAACTAAGAAACTTACGGAGCGTGAGAAACGACTTTTGGAAAGGCAGAAGAAGACTGAACAGCGAGGTCGTCCATCCACAAGTTCTTGGACTCCAGAGAAAAAGGAAGGAGAGCCAGAATCATCGAGACGATCCACCAGTGCTGAGCCACCTCCAGAGAGAAAAGACTACAAAGGAACAAAAAGCACATCCTCCAAATCTACGCAATCAACAATGGAAGCAAACAATGATCAACTGAGCCTATATCAGACATGCAGGCTTTTGGGTGATAGACTCGTCAAGTTCTCAGGCATAGGAGACCGTACATTTGAGGAGTTTCTGGAAGAGTACAGAGATCTCATCGAACGCCTTCGTATTCCACACCCTAAGGCCAAAGTTCTGTTGCCTATGTATCTTACTGGACCGGCGCGCATCAAGTACAATAACATCGAAAATGTGCAGAACCTTGACTGGGAGACTCTTGTCACTACTTTGGCGAAGAAATTCAAGAACGACGCCTACTTGAGTAATCTGCGTGACGAACTTCATAACATCACTCAAGGAAAAGATAGTGTCGCCGAATTTGCGCAGAAGGTCTACAACAAGTGCAAATTCGCTTTTCAAGGCATGGATAAGGATTTGACGAACCAGATGGCTATAGACTTCTTCATCAAAGGCCTCAACCCACAGATCCGTAAGGCCATGCGACGTCTCCCAGAAGCCAAAGATTTTGATGCCGTTGTTGCCGCAGCTGAGAAAGAACATCGCATACTTCAGCAGGAAATGCACGAAGACCGAGATACGATCCACGCGATTAATGCCATCATCGCTGATGATAAGCTCGACCGACTGGAACGTGAGCTGAATACGCTTAAGATTCAACAAGCTCGCAGGCCTACAGCTTCTCAAATGCGCGGAAGAGGGAATTTCAGAGGAAGCTCAAGACCCTTTCCCTCGGGATACAACTTCTATAACCGGCCGCGCGGAACAACTTATCCGAACAGGAGAAGGCCCTTCAGAGGCAGGCCACGTGGTGGACCATATTGGCAAGGATCCTTCCGCAATCCACCTTACAACCCGGAGATGCCGACCACAAGCACATATCCATATCCGACACCTGCTGAATCCAATCCTCGACAGCTATTCAATGCATCCCATCTACTGTGTATCGTCGCCATAACTATGATGTCGCTCACCGCATTGGCATCAGCTCAGTCATATCAGGTCTGTGGCACTAACCCATCTGCCAACATCATTGCTCTCCCTGTGCCAGTGAATTGTACAGTATCGTCAGAGGAACCTCTAATGCGCATGCCAGTCCGTCTTTACACCGAAACAGATGAACCACTGCGCGTAAATGCGACAAAATGTTATCGCGATGTCGTCAAAGTGGCAATTACAAACTTTCTTTATATACGAACAAAAAGAGAGATTGTCGAGCGTTTCCGTCTTTCGGTTACCCGTGAATTGTGCGACCAGATGAGAGCGACTGGTAAAGCCCATGACCACGACCTGGAACAAATTTTGCCTGGATTCTATGCCACGAACGAAGTAGAAGACGATCAATATAGTCTACCTCTATGGGGAACGAACCATTATTTGCGCAGCATCTACACTCTTGAATACGGAGATCTTGCTTCGTTTGATGGAAAACGTGTTATAAGCTCCTTGGCCAACCTCCAGAATTGCACCCTGTCCGACGGCTTCTGTTTGCTGAAAGAAGAAACTATCATGTGGGAGCCTGTTAACAGTCCTTCACTATGCCCTTACAAGTTCGCTGGATCCTTCAATTCCTATGTCACCGCCAAGTTCGCGTTAATTCCTCAGTCCGAACTAGCCTTTGAATTCTACTCGGATGCAACAGCTTATGCCGAGATAGCTGTAAGATGCGGCTTCTCAGGATTTTCACTAACCACTTCCCATCACGTCCTCATTTTCCCACAACTTCCTACTCATCTCTCTCTTCAACGATATATCTTGGAGGAAAGTTTACATCGCCGGGAAAAACGAGAAGTCCGATATATCACGGATTCAACAGGAGCGAGGTCATCATACGAGATGATTCCTAAACAATCAGAGCCCTTGATACGAAGACTTTTTGGTATTACGGAGTTAACACAGCTGCCATATTTCGCCACAACGCCTATAAAGGAACCAAGAATTATAAGAGAAATGGAGAAATGGAATGTCACCAACAGAGATTTCCAACTTCGTAGAAGACTCTATGCTGCTGAAGATCCGAGACTGACCGTGCTGCGTACCATACGATATGCCGAGTACAGATGGAAACAGTTGCTGGAGTTTGAAAAAGTACGCAAGACCCGGATGTACACGTATGCAGAGTTTTCTACTCAACGAGATTTGCAAATGGGCATAAGTCCTATTTTTGATGAATATCTCGCTGAAGAATTCGGACCCGCTCGGATTGTAATTGGAAATAATACTTCCACCATCCCTATTCCTTTTTACACCATCATTACCTCACCTGTGGAAGATTTGCCACCAATACCAATCATTACAACTACGACGACGACGAGAGCCCCCACGACAAGAAGAACGACCACGTCGACTACAACGACAAGAAGTACAACTACTACTAAACATTACGATGAAGTCACTGATTATCCCGATGATTATGTTGCTGACGTCTTTCAATTTGATTCCACAAGTCAGCCGACTCAGGCACCTCCGACAACAACTACCCAGACTCCTCGACCTCGATTGACTCAGAAACCTTTACCAATCACCTTACCTGAAAGACCTCGGACGGCTCCAAGTTTCTCCACCAGAATCCCTCCAACTCAAGCTCCCAGCCAGTCCTTTCATCGAGTGCCTCCAAGACCTCTAGCAACTCCCTCTACACGACTTCCTATAAGACCTCCGAATTTGCCCGTCCAAACGGCGACGCTCCAAATCCAGACGCTTCAACGACCTCTACCCTCATCACCAAAGTCCACGACTACTGTCTCTCCAAACCTTTCGAAGAAAGCTCGTGAAGTGGATTCTTATTATCGAGAAACGTATAATAATATTTGTAATCGGCAGTACCTCAACACCTTGCGAATTCGCACGTTCAGTACTGTAGAGCCGACATGGGCAGCAAGAGAACTTCTCCAGAGGAATGATGTAGTAGCAACGTTACAGGACAGTGAACTCTTCGTGACACGTTGCAGACCTGTGCACCCACAGAAGATTTTTGAAGACCACAGGGTGAATGACACCTGCTACGTGCTTACACCCGTACAAGCTGATGATGCTATATGGTTCGCTGTACCCGGAACTCAAGATCTGCTCCCTATATCGGCCACTACTCCCTGCCCATATTTACCTCAAAGGAGATCTCATCATCTTCAATACGTATTGCCCCCAAATAACCTACAACCGGCTCATCTGTTCCTCTTCAATCCTCCTTCGGTTTACTCCCAGAGTCATGGATACTTCACACCGTTCGCGCGATTCTATCTCCAGGTCCTCGAACAAGACCAAGAGAATTTGGATAATCGACTTCAAAAACGAGGAATATTGGATGATGCCCTGGATAGGATCAGATCTGCCAAAACTTCACTGGGAAAATCTATTCACTCCATCTACCAAACGGCCACTGAGAAACTTTCGGCAGGCGTGAATCAAATCAAATGGTCTCTAATCTATTTCATCTTGTGGGTCTCTGTACCCATCGTCGTTGTTTTCATTCTGGTTTCCGCATGTGTGATTGGCTTCAAGTTGTACTTCGCCCGCAAAACAACCACAGCCGCAGCCTCCGCTATGATTGATCTCGCCGGAACCTCCATATAACGCCCGCGGTTCCGAAGTGTAGACTTTGATTTTATGTGCAAGCGGGCGCCGACATTGTTGATATTCATACGCAACTCCGATCCTTTACATCTCCGTTCCTACTCTTCAAAACTAAGAATCTTTTAACCACACCTTTATCTATAAGCAGCAAAAGCAATGCGGAATAAATATATAAAGCACATTAAAGAAGGAATATGGGAAATTGCAAAGCAAGTACATGATTAGGCACATTAAACACCACAATAACAGCGGACATACTTCAAAACAACATTCACTCACGAGGGTCCAGACGGGAAGCGCGCAGCCACAGGGGAGAGGAGGCCGCTCTCCAGAGCCGAGCCATTCCAACTCCGACTCTCTAAAGCTCCGCCTCCCGCCGATGGCTAGTGACTTGCACTTTTGACTTTGAATTTTATTCGCGCTTCACACAAAGCCGGGCTCGCATTCACTTGACCAGATTTAAAAGGTTCAACAAACAGCACAACAGCATAGAATGAAACCGGTAAGTTAGCACTGGTCATATTAAGAGGACGTATCCTGTGAGAAAAGGATAAGAAAGCAAAAAAGAATGTAGAAAAATCTCGTTGATCATGTTTGAGCTTGCAAGAGCAATCCGAGCGGCTTTGCGTGTGTGGCGGAGACACCCATGGATAGCTGCCACGGACACATACTCTAGAACTTGTAGGGGCGCCTGAAACGGATTTCACGAAGAATTTTCAGGAAAATCGGGAGGCCCTGGCACGAAGACCCTGCTGCCTGTAATTTCGGCTTTGTATAGCACGCACAATGCGGGAAAGCGGTTGGGGGGTCCCGCGCCGTCTAGCGGAGAATACTCGTCCGAACAAGGTGTTAGGCGAGCGAAAGGAGGAAGGGGAGCGGCGCTTGGGCCGCCCCCCTGGCTTGCAGAGTTCGCATTTTCGGCGCAGAGTTGCTGTTTTGGTTCACTTGGAGGGCCTCCTATCCATCTGTGTCAAAATCTGAGGTAGGTCAATCTGCCGAGCCGCTGCCTTTGAATAACAAAGAAGGTTATAGGACAGGAATGCTGCGAGCAGCAAGTTCCCCGCGAGCTGCAGCGTACTGTAGAGCTGGAAGGGATCCAAAGACGCCTGCGCGCAATGGTGTGATTGCACGAGTCGGGGCAGTCGTCGACGAACATCCTTTAATGGCCGCTACTCTTCTCCCAAACACAAACAAAGGGGAAGAAGTCACCCACATCACAATTGAACCGGTGTTGTCAGCAAAACAAATCTGACAAATTACTGCAAATACACTCAAGCAGATAAGTTCGGATAAAAACAGCAGTCTCCATAGTTTCGTTCCGGCGCCCTGCGGTATAGCACGGTTGTCTTGAGCCTTGCGCTCATGCTTATTGGATCCGCAGCTGCCTGTCAGAGCGGATACACCCCCACTCTGCTAGTATCGCGAGTAAAGAAGGCTACCAGAAAACTTCCAGACTAATCAACGAATTTTGCATCGGAATACATCACTGTAACAAAACCATTGCAATAGTAAAGGTCGTTTAAAAGGCATTGACAATGACATGCTCGAAAGTGATAGAAACCTTCACAAAAAGCACAAGAGCATAAATATACTACGTAGAGAGTATACTTTGGACCGAAATGAATGATTATTCGATTATTCGAATAAATCATTCGAATGCGAATGATTCGAGAATCCGAATATAAAATATGGGATTTCGAACAGTATTCAACAGTTGAATTCGAAACTATTCATTTTCGAATATTATTCGAAACTCGAATATTCGATGCCATCAGTTCGATCATTCGATGTTCTTCAAATATTCGAATAGTCGACGAGCATTCGAATATTCGAAAATTTGATGAGAATCTATTCGAAAATTTGACGACCATCGAATGATCGAAAATGATATCAGTAGCATTACACATTGTGGTCCAAAAGTGTATATACACTTTTTGATCGCTGACATTTCTCTTAGAACGCTTTTGCCAACTTTGAGCACCATTTGCAGGGCTGGCTCAGCTAACATTTGCAACAAAAAGCGAATCGCCCATAGCTTCTTATTATTGTATTACGGCAGGAACTCTTTGCATAGAGAGTCCCTACGAAATATGCCGTTCGAAAGAACTTCTCTAAGTTATAAATTAATATAGCACATTCTTTACATATGCTGACTTGACTGTGCATTACGGGTTTCCAAGCTTTTTCATTGTGTAATCTTGTTTTTGGAAACCATAACGTTTTTTACGGTGTAACTGGCTTAAGTTTTGGAAAAGTAGTGTGGTTGAGTGTAAAATTAATATTTCAAGTCAGTGAAAAGCCTGATGTAAGAGATTTAATTTTGGCTTTCTTTTTCTGGGCAAAATATGGCCCTTAATGTCTCAAAACTCTCTTCTATTCTCCTATAATCCTACAACAGTGAAGAGCCAATTCTCTCCATAGTAGATCTGAGCTAAACCTAGCTCTACTTAATGGCAACTAACTTCGGCAAAGGAATTTGTGGGGGGCAAACTATGATCAAATAGTGCCCACACAGTTTTGCGATTGCATCAAAATACAACATCACTGAAAGGTAACATTGAATGGTCCCCATGCGACCTGAATAGTATGCAAAATGAGCCGTCTTTCTATAGTCTGCCGCAATCCCAACCAGGCCAAAATTGGCATGGCGGGAGTCGGCGTCGCTAGGGTTTCGCGGTCAAGCCCACGGCCTGCTTGTCTGCTCTCTCTGCAATCCTTTTGCTTTCCTCGACAGCGCGCATATGCAGCGCAGACGCTAGCGCTGCGAGCGCGCAAACTTGCGCCGACGGTTCGGCCTGATCCCGATTGAAGCAGACTGTATGTTGCAATAATTGCTCGATCTCACCACTCTGAACGCCGCGATTTGTAATGCTAACTTGCTTCCGGTTCCTATAAGTTTCTTGACAACCGTCATAGGAGTAGGCCGTCATAGAAGTAGGTTTTTAGGTTTCCAAGTTTCTTGATGTATCACTAGCCGTTTCCTCATAATAAATTGTACCTTCAATCTATTCGAAATTTTCGATTTTCGCACATTATTCGATATTCGAATACTCGGAAAGGTTTTCGAATTTTTTTAAGTGTAGTAGAGACATGCCCGAAGCGGGTTTTGTATACCCCAGCTAGATGCCGAAGCATTAGACCCTCTGAGACGGGGACCGAATTAAGAAAGTATTGCGGATCCAGGTTACTCTGGATGCACATCCACTTGTTGCGCTACCGTGTGGATGTCTGCTGCCATTTCCAGTTTCCAATTCTACAGAGAAGCAAACAGACCCACATCGGATGCAGTTTACGAAGTGATAGGTGCGTCGAGTGGTCGTCATTGAAAGAAATAGAAGTTAACTGACACGGACTAACAGTGAAGAATCGGCGCACCTGCACATTAAAGGCAGCGGCTCGGCAGAACGACATCTTTGGGATATCCATGTTCTCGACTCCCTTGAATGAGCTAAGTGCAAAACTGTGCTTTGCATCTTCAAAAGACATCCCGCATTTCCAGACTCAAAAAGTGCTAATTGAGAGGACAGCGTAAGCCTGCCGGAGCGCGGTTGGCTCGTGAGTAAGACACCGTACCTATATCGGCGACAATTGGATTATAGGCTCCAGCAGTCACTCTCGCGACCCGCCCAAAAAGCACTTTTCACGTTTGAAAAAGCGGGTTTTTGATATCTTTTAAAGCTATAAAGCACATTTAAGCCTATCTCCTACCCGCACAGCTTAGAATCCCGGTAGAATGCGCGAACAAGAAAGAAGCAAGGGTCAGGATTCCATAAATGCAAGAAGCAAATTAAATGTCATTGCGATGGTACCGCCTATCGCCAGTGCCCGAAAGATCCCTATCACTTCATAATACTAGCTACCTGTTACTCATTTCAAGCTCCGCTATAGTTGAACAAGAGTTGACGAAGGGGTAGATTGCGCTCAGAAACAGTGGAGGGTTCGTTATAAATTTAGATCCAGCTCATTCATGAACGCCTTACAAATTTTTGATTAAAAGGAATGTAACGTACACCTCGCCAACGGGCTGCCATGGATGCGTGAAGAGAACCGTTATGACATTTTGCTACTCTCAGGCAAATATGCAAGTTACGGTCAATTGCAAGCGCCACGAATTCATCGTTGACTGCGCACCAAATAATACATTGATCGTAACGCTACTTCCATTCCAATACGCGTTGATCGAGAACGAATGCGAGGTGGAATGTACAAAATCGAGTAGACTAAAACCCCGAGGACTGCTCCACTGTCACATTTCCCACAAAAAAGGTGATGAATTTACGGAACACACACTCCCATTGAAAAATCAGTGATTTGCAAATTGGCACATCTCCTCGACCTTACGCCACTAATTAATGCTATCCAAAATTATTGGAAAATAGCAACGGTCGCAGTTACATCAGCACTGACAATAGCCGCGATCACCTAACTAGCGGGTTCTATGGTAATTATCATGTTAATAAAAGCATTCTCTTCCAGGTTAAGTTAGTGATTACGGCCTTATACAGAGATTAATGTTGTAATTTACGATAAGAGAGTCAACCAAAAGACGCCAGTACAAAAAATATAGGCGGAACAAAATTTCCATGAATACTTGTACAATAAAAAAAACTGTCCGATTTAGTCGTCGAAATCGGACGTAGACACCATATCATATCCCTCACCCCCTACCTTATACATATACTATCGGCCCGCGCAATCGAACATCACCGAAAGGGCGCGGAAGGCACCAGCACAAAAGTCCAGAGTACATAGTACCACTCAACCATAAAAATAGGCGCACTTCCAATTTCTATTTATCCTCCGCTCACCGTCGGCCAGCCAGCTCCACCGGGACCGCACCGCTAACGTCCAAGATCCGCTCGATCGCGCTTTTCCGCAGCCTCCAGCGATCTCTCCGCATACGCTGACCCCTCGCGGCCAGGCACTCATAAAGCGGTAAGTGTCCCAATTACTCAGGATAGTTGTACAACTCAGTTTTGCATAGTAGTTATCTACTGAGCATACAATCAGCCTTTTGTCGTTCTTGAGCGAAACTCAAGCAGCCATAGATCTGGACCGATGCAACATAGCAACACTCCCTCACCATCTCGTGCCCAGACTGGAGGCGCTGGAGGCCAAATCAAGGACGATGCTGGAGCAACTTGAGCAGCTACTTGAGCACAGCTCCACTTTGCTCCCTGCGCAGTTAGCGGAAACCGGGGCACCATGTCACTACTCCGACTTGCCCGCGCTACAAGAACCTCATCGCTAAAGCCGCACAAGCAGCGAATTTAGGGCTCTGCCTCCTTTGTCCGAAATAAAGTCGATTGTGGAGTGAAATGCAGCAATTGTGGCCTTTGCCACAACTTTCTGCTATACTCCACAAGAAGATCAGGTCAACCAGCCGCAAAAAGACCACGGAGTTGATGAAGTTTACCGCCGCTGCCGTTCCTCCCCAAACCGTCGCCGCCCAACGCCGCCCCAAGCCGAAGCTGTTTACCATTACTCAAGCTGTCGCCCTCTATTGCAACTCCAAGCTTCCGTCGTTAACTTCACTTTCACATGGTAATCTTACTTGTATGTACAATTAGTTTTTGAGTGCGATTATTTTGCCTTGTTCCTCTCAGGGTGGTGTATCATCGCCCAGCGATGATGCTTCTGACGTTCTGGCAACATAGGTCACAGTCTCTGATAGGCGTGACCAGATGCTCCCTCCCCCACTATGGGGGATATAAGGTCTACATTTTCAGCCAGAAGAGGCTGCTCATTAATTGCCCCCGTATCGTGCTTACTGTACCTTCTTCAATGAATTCTGAACCCACCTTTGCTATTTTTGTTATCCTTACGGACCTGTAGCCCAAGAGTCTTTAGTACCCGCATCAGAGGATATGACTTTGCTCGCGTTCGCCGCACTACTGAGGATTGAATTATGCGAAGTTCAGATGTTGAACATATGACGTATGGCGTAAGCACAAGAATAAATTGGTTCGCCATAAAAAAGATCAAGAGGAACGACGCTGTTCGGAAGTCACTTACATTAACAGAACCCACCTTATACTCTCGAGTGTGTCTTCGAGAAGTTGCAGTTGCTAAGGTCCCGGGCACACTTCACGCGATTTGATCGTCGCACTCAGTCGCGACGAGACAACTGTTACAACATCATTCCATGCCATTCAACTTGCATTCGGTTGTGATACTTTTCCAGCCCGAAATTTTTGAAGGTGAAATGAAAATGAATGGAAATCTTAGCGATTAAATCGCGACGATTAAGTCGCGTGAAGTCTGTCCGGGGCCTAAAGCAAAATCCGAATCAGTATATAAGCAGAACACCCATTCATCCACCAACAAGGGATGCCATCACGCTAGGCTCAAAGGAGTGCTCAAGGATGCCGGATTGGTACATATGTCTTTCGCATCGCTCCTTTACAGGAGGAGCAGCCACAGCACCAGTCCGAGCGAGGATACACCCTGCTAATGTATGCGCGTCGAGCGATCCTGGAATGGCAAGGCTTTTTCCGCTATGTCGATCCCAGCTCTCTATAACACGTGTATTAGTTCGATTATGTGAAATTTCGTTTCTCATGGTGGTGAATTTTCTCCTTCTCCTGTTGCTGTCAGCATAATACGAGTTCGTTTTGGTTCCTTCGCGCATATTAACATGTCCCGCTGGTAAGTAGCTATTACGTCTTTGCTTTGTTGCTGTGGAACAGTATGTCCATGTTTTGTTCATTATTCGCCTCTGTTATGTGCACGTGCACATATCGCATTGTTACTCTTGGTTGCTCTGTATATTTTACAGTGTTGTCATGCTATCTCATTCAGTATTGTGCCTTTGCAATATGCTCGTAAGTTAGGCTGTTGATGCATGAATTTGTTTCATATTATGCCTCGGACAGTGTTCACGCAATCACTTTGCGATTCTCCCACAAGACGACAGTTACGAATCTTATATATAAAGCTGAATGTCTGTTTGTCTGTATGTCTGTATGTCTGTCTGTATGTATGTACGTATGTTCCGAATAAAAAATTCCATTTCTGAACCGATCGGGACCAAACTTGGCACACATACACTTCGGGCCCCGGCGGGTGTCATAGGCTACTTTTCGTATCGATCGATATCGATTTTATCGATTATTTGCAAAATTTGAGCTACGGGGCTGGGAGTTGGCACAGGGGGGTAAGTGAGCATGGGGATTCCGAATACAATATTAGTTTTTAAAATCGTGCATTACTTTTATCGATTTTATCAATTTTTTTGCAAAATTTGAGCTACGGGGCTGGGGTTTGGCACAGGGGGGTAATCGAGCATGCTGATCACCCCCACGGGGGTGATCAGCATGCTCGATTACCCCCCTGTGGCAACTCCCAGCCCCGTAGCTCAAATTTTGCAAAAAAATTGATAAAATCGATATCGATCGATAACGAAAAGTGGACTGTGACACCCGCCGGGGCCCGAAGTGTATGTGTGCCAAGTTTGGTTCGGATTGGTTAAGAAATGGAATTTTCTATTCGGAACATACGGCGGAGCCGGGTATGCCAGCTAGTCCATTATATTTCAGTCATTTTACATAGCGGTTGTGATAGTCTTCCGATACGAGTAATCGTGACTAATTATCACAACTGAGATGCAAGATGATAGAAATGCAATGAACTCGTAAATGGAGAATCCCGAGGCGGTGAGATTGCGTCAACTCAGCCCAGGGCCTCATACGACACGAACTGTATGGTACTGTCATGAGCTGTATAGTCTCTGCTTCACCCAGTCATTATGGAATCATGGTGCTGTTTATTATGGTACTTGCGTTTACCCCATATTTCTTTTGGTGTCCGTTCATCCTGCCATACTCTCAAGGAGTTGCAAGTGCTTTCATTTTGATCTCGGGCGACATAAGAAGATTCTTATATTGTACATCGGTGCAGGAAGCTGCTACGACATGCATCAGATTTAGCTCAATCGCCTCACAGCGAATTTTTTGTGTGATAAAGATAGCTTTTAGAATTTAGTAACTTCCAAGTTCCGTTTTCATGAAACCTTGGCATTTGTCGTCAGTTCAATTTTCTATCGTGCCAAACAGGTTTGATAAGTGGTCTTTATTTCTTTCCAATCACGGCCTTACGTTTCGACGCCTTTCGTCTTCCTCAGAGGCCTGAATGGTTCTAAGTGTTAGTGTTTCGGACTAGCTGCTTTTTGGTGTTGTTGTTGGGGATGTTGACTAGAACAACATCATTTTGTAGCTGAGCTCGAAAAATGCACTGTTTAAACGCCGCGGCAATCTTGTCAGAGATGAAGGGAAGGCATAGTGGGAGTTTACTGTTCGTATGAATGCTGTTACCATTTCTAGATAGTCGAGGACACGATAAGTTATGGTAACCATTACAGCAAGCAATCTGGTAGGCCAACTTTCGAGTTTCGCAACGTTCTTGCTCTCCGGAACACATCCGCATAGCTGTGTTGAACATGTTTCTGATGACTGCGCGTTTTACAGATGCAGGATGCGCGGACTTGACGTTTACCAAGATGTTCTTAGAGCTTTCCTTGCGGTACCATTTTACTCTAACAATGCCATCGGATAACTTCACCTGTGCATTGAGATATGGCAGCCAACCGTCGCGTGGCTTTTCGCGCGTGAATTTGATGTACTGCGGTTGCTGGTTCAGGATCTTAAAACACTCATCCATTTCGGATTGTGTTGATGTTATGACACAGCAATCGTCGACGTAACGGCAGTACATCAAAGGTGTACGTGCCAACACCGGTTCTTCAACTTTACTCATGAAACATATAGCGAGAACTGGTGCTAGTCTTTGGCCCATAGCTAGTCCGCGTATCTGAGAATAGTATGTCCCAGACCATCTGAAGATGTTACATTTCAGGCACTCGCTAATTAGGGCCATCGTTCGCACTTTGCCAAGTCCGTACATGTTTATGGTACCAGCGTACGTATCCAACATTTTCTTTGATGTACTGCCGTTACATCGACGATTGCTGTGTCATAACATCAACACAATCCGAAATGGATGAGTGTTTTAAGATCCTGAACCAGCAATCGCAGTACATCAAATTCACGCGCGAAAAGCCACGCGACGGTTGGCTGCCATATCTCAATGCACAGGTGAAGTTATCCGATGGCATTGTTAGAGTAAAATGGTACCGCAAGGAAAGCTCTAAGAACATCTTGGTAAACGTCAAGTCCGCGCATCCTGCATCTGTAAAACGCGCAGTCATCAGAAACATGTTCAACACAGCTATGCGGATGTGTTCCGGAGAGCAAGAACGTTGCGAATCTCAAAAGTTGGCCTACCAGATTGCTTGCTGTAATGGTTACCATAACTTATCATGTCCTCGACTATCTAGAAATGGTAACAGCATTCATACTAACAGTAAACTCCCACTATGCCTTCCCTTCATCTCTGACAAGATTGCGCGGCGTTTAAACAGTGCATTTTTCGAGCTCAGCTACAAAATGATGTTGTTCTAGTCAAAATCCCCAACAACAACATCAAAAAGCAGCTAGTCCGAAATAGGCTCTACGACCAATATTGTACGACAGAGCAATGCATAATATGCCCGCACGGTAGAGTGGGGGATTGTGCAAAAGTGGGAGTCATTTATCAAATTGAGTGCCTCAGCTGCAAAGCGTTATATATAGGAGAGACGGGCAGAGTTTTGGGTATTCGCATAAAAGAACATCTAGCTGATAAAAGGCGCAAAAATCTGAGCACGCCGCTTGGCAGGCATAGGGACGCACGGCACGGTGGAGAACACTTTAACATCAAGTGTAGAATTCTTGCGTATGAAACGGAGATCTCGGCTAGGAAAGCACTAGAAGCATTCTGGATCACTACGAAGAATCCAGAGATGAATAATAAGAACGAGTGTTTATCAATAACTTCTGACTTCCTCCCGTTCGTATCATTATGTGATCTGTGACTGTAGATCATCTTTGGGTATCTAAAGTACGATTCACTCGTCTGCCGCGACCGCCTATTTCCGGTGCAGACTACTCGAGTAGCGGTGGTCTTCCGGTATGTCCTGCTACACTGACATTTTATTTGGTAGCGAGATTGTGAGAAGGCCGAGAACTAGCAGAGCGGGAGGAGACGCTTGGTGGTCTGGAGTTACGGATAACACTTAGAACCATTCAGGCCTCTGAGGAAGACGAAAG